CATTAATAAGGATGCTTTCTGTTTGTGTTTCCCCTGAAACATTCTCAAAGGGTTTTCCCTTCTATTACATCATTAGCTATCCCAGCAGCTCTCAGGGTGGGAGAGACAAGATCATTCCTGTTGTACACGGGGAGGAAGCAGGTCTAAGGATTTGCTTGGAGCCTCATAGCAAACCAGAAACAGGGCTGGGCTGAGAATTCAGTCTCTGCCACATCCTGTGCATAGGTACAGCAGCACCTGAGGTGGGAGGCAGGGGTGGGGGAGTGGGATGAGCAGACCTCTCTCCAGCCCTGAGATGTCCATGGTTTGGCTGTTTCAGCCCCCAGAGTTGTTGGGGGTCCTTGTGAAGCAACTCCGCACAAGTGTTGAGTGGGGCACAGGGTACCGTCAGCTTGTTAGTAAGAGGGATTCCTTGGGCCCAGATAACTTGTCAGCAGCTCCAAGAGTGGGACCCCAACTCTGTCTTCTCTCTTTAGAGGTAACTGAATAGCACCAGGGAGGAATGTGGCGACAGCACCAAGGCAGGAGCTGTGCTCTTTTGACTCTGGCTTCCGTCAAGAGCTGTCTCAGAGGGAGAAAGGAGCTCCTGAGTTGAATTTCAGGTGGATACCCACCATGCTAAAGAGAATTCCAGGCCACTAGCCTCTAGCCACACAGGTTCCCTCCCAACACTCCTGTCTGTGGGACTTGATCTGAAAAGCCACACTTTGGGTTGGGAACCTTGCCCAGGGCTGGCTGGAGAGGGGCCTGTTGTGCCACTCAGGGAAGGCCTTATGGCTGCCCCATCCTGGTTGGGATTTGGGCTGGGACTGCAGACTCTGGCCCAGCTCCCCTGTGGACCAGTCACCAATATTGCTGGCTCTGAGTCCTGATTTCTTATTTTGGCTTTCCTGGTGGCACCTGGTTTGATTCCGGGCAGCTCATCTCACATCTAGCATGGCATATAATCCAGCCAGACCTGGGTTTGAATCCTGCCACTACAGCTCACTAGTTAGCTATGTGCCCTTGGGCAAGCCCCTGAATGAATCCATGGCTGTCGTTTTCTCCTCTGTAAAGCAGGGAAGATAGCGCCCACTTTCCAGGGCTGTGCTAAGGAGGGAAGCCTGTGAAGAGCACCTGTCACAACATGCAATGCAGACATGGGAGTCATTTTTGTTACCACCCTCTTGTTCTAGCAGGAGACAGTGGCTTTTACCAGACCCTCCCTTCAGGGACAGCCCAATGGCTCCTCTGGGCCACCAAAGTGGGTTCTCTAAAAGGGTGGAGGAGAACGGGGAGCCATTTCCCAGAGCTGCAAACCTCCCAGGGAGTGCTCAGGCTCCATCTCCCCCAGCCCCCAGCTGCCCGCCAGCCATAACTGTAGGATATGGTGCCCAGGGGAGCCATGAAAGGCGAAGCTTTTACTTCCATCTCCTGCACTCCAGGCCCCCAGGCCCTACCCTAGGACTTGCTGTGAGATGGGCTGGAGGAAGGGCTCTTGAGTCTGCAGAAAGGACTGCCATGTTCCTGGCTCTGGCATCCTTCTCTATGCTCTTGGTGCCAGGCACAGCCATCCTGATGTCTCATGCTCAGACACCACAGACTGGACATGGTGGCATCTCCTCCAACGCTCAGCTCCCCCGAGTCCCATCAGTCAGGTGTCCCCAGCATCTCCTCCACCACCGCCACCTTCATCCTGCCTGCCCGTGTGCAGCCTTGTTCCCTCTCCTCTGGACACGGGCCCCTCCCTCTGGATGCTTCTCTGCAACTACCAGAAGACTCTGTGGGAGCCCTTCCATAGTGCTTTATCTCTAGGGAGAACATCTGGGTCAGCCTGGCGTCCAAGGCCTCTGGCGAGCAGCCTCACCTGTCCTTTTCCAGGTTGCTCTCATGTGGTCTCTTCCCCCTCCTACCCATGCCATCCTCTTCCTGACACCAAACTTCTTCCTGTTCCCAAACCCTGTTCCTTGCCTAGCTCACTGCTGTTCCTCTGCTTGCACTGTTGTCCTGCTACCCTCCTCCTGACATTCCTTTTTTTTTCCCCTTTAAGCGGTTTAACAACTGACATCAAGTCAGGGAGACAATCAAAATTCCCTGCTCACATTCTCTGGAAGTGGGCCAGCTTTGTAGCTCAGTGTTGAAACTACCCCTAAAGACTGCTCTCCCCTTCAACGACAAACAGAAGAGCTGATCTGGTATACTTACTCTTTTAAAATCACCTTTAAATGTTTGCTGCACTGTGAGGCCTTCAGATGTCCCCAGGCAGGTAAGTAGCTTCCTCCGTCTGTGTGTACTGTCTTAACGCTGTGACTGTTGTGGACTCTGGACTTGGGTACCCCCCGTTATCTCTGTCCCCAGCCTCTATCTGTGAGGCAGTTCAAACACAACATGAAGGCTGAACAACAAGTGCTCAGCAGGGTCTCACCTCATAGCAACCTGTAAATACCCCAAGAAATCCGCTTTTAAACATGGAGTTCTGGCCGGGCCTGGTGGCTCATGCCTGTAATCCCAACACTTTGGGAGACTGAAGTGGGCAGATCATTTGAGCCCAGGAGTTCCAGACCAGCCTAGGCAACTTGGCAAGACCCCATTTCTACAAAAAACACAAAATTTAGCCAGGCATGGTGACGTGCGCCTGTAGGCCTAGCTACTTGGGAGGCTGAGCTAGGGAGGATCACTGAGCCTGGGAGGTTGAGGATGCATGAGCCATGATATGCCACTGCACTGTAGCCTGGGCAACAGAGCAAGACCCTGTCTCAAAAAAAAAAAAAATAGGCTGGGCACGGTGGCTCACGCTTGTAATCCAGCATTGGGAGGCCAAGGCGGACAGATCACCTGAGGTCAGGGGTTCAAGACCAGCCTGGCCCAATATGGTGAAACTCCATCTCTACTAAAAATAGAAAAATGATGGCCATGGTGCCGCTCGCCTATAATCACGCTACTTGGAGGCTGAGGCCGGAGAATCACTGAACCTGGAGGTGAGGGTTACAGTGAGCCGAGATCACACCACTGACACTCCAGCCTGGGCCAACAGAGTGAGACCTTGTCTCAAAAAAAAAAAAAAAAGTGGAGTGCCTATAAAACAAAAACAACCAAACAGAACAAAAAAACAGTGGAGCTCTTTAGAGACCCATTTCCTAGAGGACAAACTGAAGAGAACAGCCAGCACTTGCCTAGCATCTTCCCCATGGCATCCCTCCCCATCCTGTGGTTCTTCCCTGGAGTAGGAGTCCTCAGCAGACATTAGTGCTGGCAGCCGGGCTTGCAGCTCCCCCTGGCACGGGGCCAGGTTCATGTGCCTGTGAGGAAGCAGCACTAGCCCCAGAGCTGGGACGATGGAGCTCTGCAGAAAGCCAGTCACAGCACAGCAAGGTGAGCCTGGAGGAGGAGGGTGGCCATTTCTAGTCCAGTGGGTGGAGATCACCAGTTACCGAGCCCACTGGCTTCTGCCCTACAGCTTATAAACCAAGTAATACCCTCCATTCCATCAAGTGGCAAAAGCCAAGTGACTGCTTTGCTTCCCAAAGCTAAACCTGGGAACCCCAGGGCCTGGCATGGTGCCAGCAGATTTGGGCCTGTTGCAGGGCCTGTCATTAGAGTTCAACCTCAGAAAGTTTCTTCAATCTCTCTGAGCCTCAGGTTCTTCAACTGTAAAATGGGGTTAGTGATACCTGCCTCATAGCATCACTGGAAGGGTTAAAGGAGCCCATTTGGGTAGGGACGTTGGCCCAGTGCCCAGTGATGGACGCTATGACAATGCTGCTGGTGATGTCTCAGGACAGCTACTCTTGCCCTTTGCAAAAGTTTCCCCTTGGTAGGTCTTCTAATTACACCCCAAGAGTGACTCAGTTGGATGTTGCCACCTTTAGCACTTTTTTTGACAACTGTTCATCACCCCGTGAATCAGGAAGGTGCTCTTTGCCAGCACGTGGTAGTTTCCTTCCTTTTCTTCCAATTTGGCCATCCTTCCCAAGTGGCTCCATGCCCAGGCCTGTGGGGTTCTAATGGGGCTTAGGCCCGCTCATTGCTCTTGAGGACCAGCCTGGGAGGCAGGAAAGGAAGCAGGTGCTGACCAAGCCAGGGGCGTGCTGCACTGTCAGGTGAGTCCAGGGGGGTCACAGGAGCTCCCAAGGACACCCAGCCTAGTGGTGAGGGCAGGCAGGACACATGGTGAGAATAACCCAGACCAAGGTAGAGGGGAGAAAGAACAGGCTAGCCAAGGCATAGGAGGACAGCCAGAGGGGCAAGAAAGCCAGCTCACGAAGGGGCTGAGTCACACTCAACGTTCTCTCAAGGCAGTGGGAGCCCTTTAAAAAATTATGTCTTCTCGCCGGGTGTGGTGGCTCACACCTGTAATCCCAGCACTTTGCGAGGCCGAGGCAGGCGGATCACGAGGTCAGGAGATCGAGACCGTCCTGGCTAACACAGTGAAACCCTGTCTCTACTACAAATACAAAAAATTAGCCAGGTGTGGTGGCAGGTGCCTGTAGTCCCAGCTACTCGGGGGGGGGCTGAGGCAGGAGAATGGTGTGAACCCGGGAGGCGGAGCTTGCAGTGAGCCGAGATCGTGCCACTGCATTGCAGCCTGGGCAAGAGCAAGACTCCGCCTCAAGAAATTAAAAAAAAAAAATTATGTCTTTCTACTCCCCTCCCCCGCCATATAAAAGAAAACATGATGGTCATACACACAAAACCCCTTGGAGGCTTTTAAGCAGGGGCGCTGAGGCTTAGCTGCCTGGGAAGATGCACTGGGAAGGGTGAAACCAGAGGCTGTGCAAAGAGGAGGCGGCTGCAGTCCAGTCCAGCAAGGGGCCTGGGTCTCAGCAAGGCTGTGATGGGGGCCAGGGACAAGCAATTTGGAGGGTGGAATGACCAGGATTCACGACTGCTCACGGGACGAGGAGGAAGTCTGGGATGCCATACGCATCTCTAACTGGATGGATGGTGGTACCCTGGCTGGAAACCACTCTGGACGCTTCACCTGGGTTAGCAACCAAAGGAAAACCTCCACCAACTGGGACTCTCAGTGCAGCTGGTTTTTATTATTAAAGCCAAGGTTGGAAAATGATTGTCCCCCTGCCCCCTAGGACCCTCCCACCCACCTCTAGATTGATCCCTTTATATCCTGTGAAGGTGAAAACTAGATTTGTCTTGAAGAGACTCAGAAACGCTCATGCTGGAATGAGAAAATGAGGACAAATGACATAGGCTCAGATGGTGGTCTCCGTGTGATTGTGTTGGACTCCACCCAGGATTCCTGGGAAAGACGGCTTAGGGGTGGGGCTGGACAGCCCCTGCTCACAGTGCTGTTCCCTAGAGTCCAGGGTGGGCGTCAGGAACGAAGGCAACGGAAGAGGCTGAGCTGGCCCCCCGCACTCTACCCTGCTGAAGCTGGGCCACAGGCTGGTTTTTGTAAAAATGGTTAAAAAGAAAACCCAGCCACGAGCACCACCCTCCCCTGAGCAGGGTGAGAAGAGGCGCCAGCTCTGGGCTTTGAGGTCTGAAGCTTGTGGCCTCCTGGCCTGGCGTCGCCTCCCTGGAGGCAGGCAGCACCCTGAGGGAGGCCAGGTGGGCTCCTAGGCCCCGCATGTGGCCCTTGGCAGCCTCCAGGGTCCCAGGAGAGCTTTGAGATGGCTGTCTCCCCTCCTCCCACCCAGCCCATGGCAGGCTCTAGGCCTCAGGGACCCTGTGCAACTTTTGCTCTTTGGATTCCAAAGATCTGAACTTGTCCTCCAGCACGGGAACAGTGGGCTGGAAGTGGATGACAGGCCTGATCTGAAAGACAGTGAAGCCCTCCTGGTTCTTCTGGTTGAACAGACTTACCCTGTGTTCCAGCTCGGGGCTGGTTTGGGCCGAGCCTGCTGGGCTGGGCCGGGAGAGGGGGGCTGGGTCCAAGGCCCTCTGGGATGGGCAGGGGTCCTCTGACAGGGAGGACAGCAGGTCCTGAACTGTGGCCTCCTCCACCTGCTGCTGGGGTGGCAGCGGCAGGGGAGAGGGGCCCGGTTCAGAGGATGGCTCCTCGCGGGCGGTGCTGCAGTCTGTGGAAGAGCCCAGCGTCTGGCTGCTGTCACTCTGGGCCGTGGTGACCGGGCTGCGGGAGGCACTCTCCGAGGTGGCGCCGGTGCCATTACCGCCAAGCTTGAGGGGCATGTCCAGAGAGAAGAGGTCCGAGGAGATGTCGGGCTGGTGGATGTCTATTGCGGCCGTGGTGACCATGCACACAGCTGCATCTGGGACACCGCTGTCTGCAAGGAAGGAGGGGATCTCGGTCACACTTCAACGTCTGCCACACCTGGGGGCCCTGAAGAGGGCAGGTGTGAGTCGGGCGGTGGGCAGTGAGTGTGGCTAGGCTGTAGGGCACCATGCCTTTGTGGAGGGAGGCCTTGGTAGAACTCCCTCCCAGTTCTCCAACATCACTGCCCTGCTTTGAGGGGGATTATGCCTCCCCATCTTGTTAAACTCAAGTGTAGGCATGTGACATGCTTTGGCCAGTCACCCATGAGAAGTGACCTCTGGCACTTCTGGGCAGAAGCTTTATGAGCCGGTGCTTTACCCTGGCAAATGTTCTAGAATATATGGTGACTGTTCTGTCAACTGGGTGCTGAAGTAACGGTGATGACCTGGGAGCAGAGCCCCCAGCTAACCTGCAGTGGGCTTTTGTGGCTTTATTTAAACCATCGAGACGCAGGGTTATTTGCCACAGCTGCCTAACCTAGCCCATCCTAACTCAGGAAGCACGGTGTGCCAGGGCAGGGAACTTGGGTTCCATGGTCTGAGGAATGACTCCGTTTCAGATGGGCTGGCAGGGGTGGGGGCTGCGGAATGGGATGATCAGAGCCTGCTTAGCGTGCATCACAGGGTCACAGGACGCTCAGAGCTCTTTGCTCTAGGTGAGAGTACCACGGGGCTGACCTACAGAGGGTGCAGGGTGGGGAGGTTTCTCCCCAAAGTTGTGGAGGACTGGGAGAGAGGTCTGGGCTGGAGACGGTGGTCTTTGAAACCAGCATATTGGATGAGGCTTTGATGGAGGAAAGAAGAGGGATGAGGCCTTAGGGAGGCTAAATTGTGGAAAACCAAAAATTCAAATGCATTATTCACATGGCCCAACATAATATTCTAGCCTTACAATGGAGCATACAAGGTTTTGGGGGCTGTGAAATTCAAACTCAAGAACTGCATGTGGAACCCTGAACTGGAAAGGGGGCTATGGAGAAACAGACACCAAAGGCCTCAGCATTATTTTAAAATTCAATCTTTCCCATAAGTAAAAACCACTGGGCTTCCCTGAGGTTTTTTTCAAGTGCAAGAACATCCAGCAGGGACGTACCCGAGGCCTGCTGCTTCTCACACCCTGGGGTGCTGTGGCACCTCAGCCTCCACTGTGCCCACCTTGACAGGTGTGGAGGTGGGGGGCACTGAGGTCACTTGTAGTTCTGGATTCTAACCCCCTTCCCATTTCAGGGTTCCACATGCAGTTCTTATGGGTGATGACAGAGCACCCCTATCCTGGCACCTGCAGGCTCAGCCCCTGGGCACCCCCAGGTCCAGTGCTGGACTTTGCTGGAAGCTGAAGCTCTGATATTTTAACCTTGAGCACTGCCTGCAATTATGGTTCACAGGCACCAGGTGATGGGCATGCTCTGGAGCCAGGCCGAGTTGTCCCTGCCCTCGGGTTTAGGGGTTGCTGGGGTTCTGGCACATGTAGAACAGCCCCAACCCAGACTTACCACTGCTGGGCCCATTGTAATACTGACTGATGTAGCTGTTCATGTCGTCCTTCACCATGGCTTCTACAGAGGTGGGGACAGAGAAGGGTGAGTGCATCAAGTTCATTCTCTTCCCCTTATACTCTTGTTCCCACCCCCACGACCATAACAGAAGGCTTCTATCTCACAGAAGCCCTTGGTGTGTGTGACGGGAGCTGCCTCCTGGTTCTCCATGGGACTGCCTGTCTCACCTGCCCCAGGGGCTGGACTGCACTGGGTGCTGGGGGACCCAGGTTCTGATGAAGCACCTGCCTTAGTACTGACCTGGAGAGACCCCTTCCCCTCTGTCCCGTTTCCCCATCTCTGAGATAAGGGGTGTGGAAATAACTTCTCAGGGCTTTTCCTTGTCTGGATGGCCTGAGCCTTCACTGCCTGAACTTCTCAAGGGCACCGGAAACACTGCCCTCGGTAGAGAAGCCTTGAAATCCCATCTGCAGGAATACACGGCCAGCCACAGGGCTGATTTGCCATCCAGACAGCCCCCTGGGGCTCGATCCACCTGACGGCTCCAGCCTTCCCTGCAGTACAGGAACAGACCTGGGGAGGTGGGGTGCTGGGGATCTCCACCACCTGCACTGTTCCTACATACAGTAGGTACTCAGTACATAATTACTGAGCAAATGACAGAAGGGGAGGTGAAAGGCTGTCCATGTCAAGGGGGATGGGAATAGGGTCTTAAATATTGACCAGCCTGGGCAACATAGGGAGACCCCATCTCTACAAAAAAATTTTAAACATTAGCTGGGCATGGTGTTGCACACCTGTGGTCCAAACTACTAGGGAGGCTGAGGTGGGAGGGCTGGCTGAGGCTGCAGTGAGCTGTGATCACACCACTGCACTCCAGTCTGGGTGACAAAGTGAGACCCTGTCTTCAAATAAATAAGGAATCTTGGTTCACCTCCTGAGAGAAGCAGGGAGGGAATGGGAGGAGAGTTGAGATTTTCAGAGTGGCCTGAGAGTGGGAGGAAAGCCAAGTGCTCGGAGACCCCAAAAGCCATCCTAAGAGCTAGGCCTTGTTCCAAGGGCGGCAAGGCAGTGAGGGGCCACAGGAAGGTCTGAACTTGGTCAGGTGTGATTGGGAGAGGCCACCCCCAAAGTTGTGGCAGGAAGACCAGAGACTGCAATGCCTAGGGTGGGGTCAGGCACCTCCCGTGCTGAGGGCTGTCCTCTCTCTCCCATGAAAGTCTGGAAGTGCTCCAGGGCTGCCCCTAGAGCCCGAGTCTGCACCCCCAGGAGCTTCTCTGAGGAATGGCATCAGCAGATCCCCTGGGTTCTGAGAGCCCTTCCCAGGCACACCTGTGAGCTGCAGAAGCCAGTGTGCCCTGACCCTGGGAGGCTGGAGGCAGCACAGCAGGGCCTGGCTCTTAAAAGCTTTTCTGGCCTCTTTTGATCTGTAAATGCCTGCAGTCAGAAGTATGTTTTGCACTAATGCTGGGGTTGAGGGAGGGAGGGCCCCGGGCTGGCTCCAGGCCCTGATCCTCATCAGCCAGCTACACTTTTCTTGCAGCTGGGCATCCGTATGCTGTGTGTACTGCCAATGCTGTCTAGCCTGGCTGCCACCCTGGGAAGCCAGGGGTAACTGATCCCTGCAAGCTGGAGGCTCAGGACCTCCAGGCCCTATGGGCCAGGTTGGAGGATCTGGTCAATCTTGGTTTTATCCTGAGACCACACCTGCAGGGACTCCAGAGGGCCATGTGATGTGAGTAGGACAATGAGCTCAGCTGAAGTATCCACAGACCAGCGAAACTTTAACCCAAGAGCCCCTTGCAGGAGGAGGCCAGGGTAAATGAGAAAATCCCAGATGCTGAGTTCTTGTCCTTGTGCTGCCACTGGCCTGCCATGAGGGCTCAAGCAGGTCCCATCCCCTCTCTGGGCCTTTCTTCATCTGTACCCCCATGGCACCGGTGAGGCTCTTTCAGATTGTGATGGGGCCAGGCAGATGGTTCTGAAGTTCCAAGAGGTGACGGAATCACAGCGGAGTGTGAAGGGACTAGAGGCACCTTGGCCAGTCCCCAGTGCAGGAGTCCCCTGGATGCCAGCCTGAGAGGGCTGTCTCCACCACAGCCTGCACACCTCTAGGAAGGGCGTGCCTGCCTCTTTGTGGAGCAGCTCTGGTCACCACCTCCTGGGCAGCTTCTCATTCATCTGTGCTCAGTGGAGTCACAGTGAGTCCACCCTTTGCCATGTATTGAGCCCAGGAGTCCCTGCCTGCCGGGAGCACAGTCAGGGCCTCCCGGGACGTCAACTCCTGGTCAAACGGCCCATTAGCATTTAATCAGGAAGTGCCTACTATGTGTGAGGCTTACAGGTCCTGGTCCTGCCTTCCACACAGGTACCAAGGACAAGCCTATTTCTACTCACGGTCTCTATGACAGCCCTTCCACCACCTAAAAAGCCCCTCACATCCCTCCTGGGAAGTCTCCTTTCCTTGGAAAGCCCCTGTGCATTCTCTACCCCTCCCTGGTTTCCCAGCCTTTCCACCCTGAAGGCTTCACTATGGACTCCAGCTGTGACCAGAATGGGAGGAGGGACGGAGGGAGGGACTAGTGTTTACTCTCAAAGCTCCAGACCTAGGGGTCCACACTTCACACACTGATCTCCCTGCCCCTGTGCTGCAAGGCCGTGATTATTGAATAGACTGTGCCAAGTGCACCAAGATCCGATGTGATCACACTGCCCTAACGCACCCTCACATCCTCCGAGCGTGTTCAGAAACCGCCCTCCTCTGCCAACTCATGTGGAGCTTGTGGCCAGCATGGACGCCCAGGTTTTGTCTGCAGGAGCTGAGGCCAGGCCAGGCCTTTCCCACCCTGTACTCATGTAACCCCCAAGGAGGGCTCATCACCCTGGGCAAACGTCAGCTTGCTGGGCTCAGCCCAGAGGCTCAGCTTGCTGGAGACATCCTGAGTCCTGGCTCAGCCCACCAAGGTATTAGATCGTTCTGCTTTCTCTGTGTTGTCTACATAATTGAGGAGGCTCACATCTTCATGCAAGCTGTTGATAAAAATAACCTAAGCCAGGTGACCTTCAGCCCAGACATCCCTCCTGAGCTTCGGACTGGTCTGGCCGACCGTCCCTGGACAACTCCTGGCTGGCCTCCAGCTGCCTCTGACTCAACATGTCCAAAATAGAACTCGGTTTATCCATCCTCCTCCGTGGCATCCATCTTGGTGACTGGTTCCTGGCACTTTTTAGTGCCTCTCTCTTACTAACAACTTGATTTCCACCAAGTCTGTGACCAGTTGAGGGAACCCTGGCCCTGTGACCAGTCTTAGATCAGACTTCACGGACACTGTTGGCCTCACACAGGGCTGCCCACCTTCCATCTAAGAATAAGCCCCTGCCCCCAGGGGTTTGCTTTGATTCAGCCCTGAGGAGCCCTAGAGACGTGCAGGGAGAACCCACAGGACTGTGTTGTGCAGCCCTTGGAGGGGCAGGAAAGAATGGGCACAAACAAAGGCTTCAGAACAAAACAGACCCAGGGCCAACCCAGCTCTGCAGGGCACGTGCTGTGTGGCCTTAGGTAGATCCCTTAGCCACTCTGAGCTTCAGCTTCTTCACCCATAAAATGGGGATAGCAAATGCCTACCCTGCTGGTGAACTGGTAAGAGTCACTGAGATCATGAATGTTTAGCCCAGGGCCATCCCTTGCCTCCCTGAACCCCTGGCTCCAAAGTCTCAGTGCTTTCTGTGGCAGCTGCTCTCTGCTGCCCGGCGCCTTTCTTCCCAGGGTGTGAGCACTTTGCAAACCCAACCTGACTAATCCTCCTAAAGCCCGTCAAGTGCAGTGGTGCCAACGCTCATTATGTATGTTTTACCCCTTGGGTGGAGCCCCCGACCTGCCCAGCCAGGAGGCAGAGGTGGAGAGAAAAGGTGGTGAGTCAGCTGGGCCAGGCTTCCTGGAGGTGGTGGGGACTGGTCAGGCTGCGTGGACTCTGGTGTGGCAGAGGGGCATGAGGTGCCAACCACATGCCCTGTGCAGACCCAGGCCCCAAAGCCCAAGGCAAGGCCCCGATTCCTGGTTTGGGCCCCTGCTCCCAAACTCCAACTTGCTCTTCCATGGCTTGGCAGCCCTCACCAAGGGAGGGCACTAATATTCACTGAACTCCTACTGTATACGAGGGATGAGAGCTGCACATATGACTAAATGCTCAATCCTTCTCAGTGAAGAACTTCTGCACCTGTTTCATTTTTGAAACACTAAGACTGAGACAGGACCAGCTACATAATTTCTAGGTCCCTTGTTTAAAAAGTATTAAGAATTTCAAGAGGGTAACAGCAGAGCAGTGAACCAAAGTTAGGGACCTGTGTGACCACACAGGTCATGCGTCCATGAAGCCAGCCCTGATCACAGAAGTAACTTGTTCAAAGCCAAATTGAAATTCAAACCCAGACCTGAGTCCTAAACCCATGTCCCTCCAGTTGCTTCAAGTGCTACTTTGTGTGAGGCTCTTTCAGATCTAGTCCTACAGCCCTGGGGTTCCTGGGGTCCCCGATGTCCCGGTCAGGCCCACACATTTGGAGGCCAGTGGAGAGTCTTGCCTTCATGATCACCCAGGCCCGCTCGTCTCCAAGGACAAGCACTGGTGCCAGCTCAGCTCCCTCCCCTGGGGCTGCCTGGCGGAGGGCAGGCACAGAGCAGGCTGGCCACATGCACCCCTGCAACAGTGTCTCTGGATGCTGCAACAGCATAGGGGACGTGAAGGTTCCCTGTGATATATGGTGAAATCCGTGGCACTCCCACCAGGGGCTGTAATTCATAAGTTATGGGCGAGCTTCAAGACTAATAAATTTGGGAGAGAAGTATTAATGACTACACAGGGGCACTGTGAACTTGGCAGGCCCCAAAGCCTGGAACTCTGCAGCCTAGGTTTTAAAAATGATTTGTGCTAGAGCAAGTCTAAACAGAAGCTGCTTGGCGTTGTCTGACTGTGACCTGCTGGCAACTGTTGAGACTGTGGAGCCGCTTCCTCCTCATGGCTGGGGCTGGCACCCCGCCCTCCTGGGCTGCCCTCCCCCACCCTGCAAAACACAGGGCCCTCCCGAGGCTCTGTGACTCACGGCTCATGTCTGTAGGTTAATCCCTGGATTGTCTGTGTCCTGTGCATGAGGTGGGCCTCAGAGCCTCGCTGGCCTGAAGGTCACAGTTAGTTAGCAACAAGCACTGCCCTTACTTCATCTCCAGAGTGGCCTACAGTGCTCTCAGCTTGTCCAGCCATAATTTCTAATGTCATGAAAATCCCTCCCTGGACACAGTTCCTGGTCAAGGAGAGATCAGCTGGGGGATGCCCTGTGTCCCTGGACCATGCGAGGCTGTGAATCACACGTGTCCCTCGCCAGCCCCATGTTCTGCCCTCTGCCTTGGAGGCACTGGCTTTGCTGTTGATGCTCTGGGGCTGGCTGTGAAACAATGTGCGGAGGGAGCTGCCTAGGCTGGGGCAGGCAGCATCCACAGAGCCGGGAGGTACCCAGGGGATGCCCCAGAAGCAGGGAAGAGTGGGCAGGGGGGACCCCAGGGCTGGATGGAGAGGCATCTGCACCTGCTCCTGGGGTGCATGTCTGGCACCTCTATGGGAGGCCTGGGCCTGCCCTATCCAGATATCCCCTACCCTAGTTTCCAGAAGGGTGAGCAGGGACACTGCAGACCCTGTGACACCCTGCTGGTGACACATAGCCAATCAGTTTCCCCAAGTGGCCTTCGACTCTGACCCGATTTCTCCCTTCTGCCCCTGCCTCCCTCCTCCTCCTCCTCCTGGAAGTTGCCCACTATGGGGATTGCAGAGAGAGGAGGAGCAGGAGAACCAGGCAGGACTGAAAGCTTCAGAGCACTCCTAGAATGTGCAGGAGTATTTTAAAGGCTGGTTTGTTTGTGGAACCTCCAAGTCCAGATCTTGGCTCCCCTGTGGGCTCAAATGTGGCATCTGGCATTCAGGCTCTTGTAGGTCATTGGCTGAGGGACAAGGGCTATGCTGTTAGCTCTAAAGCCAATGACCCTGATGAGAGAGACAGAGGAGGTGTCGCGGAGAGCAGCCATACTGGGAGTGCTGAGACCTGCAGAAAGAACATCACGGGGCAGGCCCAAGCCCCAGGTGAGGTGCAGCCTCAAGACTGGCTGTGGGCAGAGCCAGGAGGCTGTAACAGAGGAAGATCCTGGAATGGGCTGTGAGATTGTAAATCTGCTCCTTTCATCCTTAGAAAGCCAGGCAAAGTGGGCAAAAGTTGTTCCCACCTTCCACAAGAACTTTCAAAAAGAATAAGAAGGCAGATTCCACAAGCACCAGCCTTGGGGCTGAAAGCCAAGTGTGGGGTCTCTGGGGTGAACTACTGCTGACTGGCCTCAGCTCCTAGAGAAGACGCAGGGCTTCACAGCAGGACAAGTGATGTCAGAGAGCCTTATTTTGTTCTTTGATCAGTCACCAGCTTGAAGATTACATTCAATGCAACAAACTATGGAGAAATGGCTGAGGCAGGCCCTGAAGTAAGTTTAGAGGGGAGACACACATAAACGCTTATGGCAGCGGAGCAGGATCCAGACCTGGGAGTCGGTGTAAGGTTGCCAGGGAAGGGTGTGGAGATCTGGGAGCTGACTCTAAGATGGGTTCTAAGCATGAAGAGAAGTCTGGTAGGCAGGCTGGGCCATCCCATGAACAGCATGCAGAGACTCAGAGACCGCACAGAACATTTACAGAACTAAAAGTTCCATTCCTCTAGAGTGAAAAGCAAGCTGAGGAGGCAACCCGGGGCAAGATCATCAGGGGTCTTATGTGCCTGCCCCCTCTTAAGGGTTGAATGGGTACCGCCTCTTCATTCATGTGTTGAAGCCTTAACCCCAAGTACCTCAGGATGTGGTCTTGGAAAGAAAGCGGTTGCAGATGTCATTAGGTCAGATGAGGTCCTTATATGACTGGGGCCCTTATAAAAAGGGGAAATCTAGATCCAGACATGCGCATAGGGAGGACGCCATGTGCAGATGAAGAAGACAGAGCAGGGTGAGGCTACTGTAAGCCATGGATGCCGAGGACTGCCAGCCGCCACCAGGAGCCAGGGGGAGGCCTGGGACAGATTCTCACTCCCAGCCCCCGAAGGGAAGCATCCATGCCCAACTCTGATCTCAGGTTCCGGCCCCAGCACCGTGAGACAATACGTTGCTGGAGTTTGTGCTAGCCAGTCTGTGGCATTTTGTTATGGTCGTCCCAGCAAACTAATCCACCAGCCTAAGGGGCGTGGGCTTTTTCCTGAGGGACACAGGGAACCAGGAAAGGCGGAAGTCAGGGAGTGGTGTGAAAGATTTTTGGAACAATCACGGTATGGTGGGGTAGGGGAGACTGCAGAGGGGAGAAGAGACTGCAGAGGGCAGGGAGCTGGGCAAGGTCCAGACATAATAAAGGCTGAATGATGAAGATGAAGAAGGGGACTGTTTCAATTAATCAGGAATTGGCAATGGGTTGTGAATCAGGACCTACCAAGCCCTGGAGTAAAGGCAGGAATCAAACAAGCTACAGATGAACACTGATGACTACGAAGTTCTACGAAGTTCTGCACGAGGCTACAAAAAGCCTGTTGCCCAAGGCAGGGCTGCCGGGACACACGGCTCAGATGAGCTGTGTGGGGAGTACGTAAGGCTGGGTCAGCTATGAGCTCAGCCAAGTGGTCCCCACAAACTCAGGAGCCTTCTGGCTGCATCATGGGGGTCCCGGGTCCAGAAAAAAAAAGCAAGAGTGCCCCCCTCAACATTCTGCCTTGGGCTTGCAGCACCCCAGTAACTGCATTCAGTTGTGGATGTTACTCTGAGAGGGACCAAAACACTGGAGAGCTCTGGGAGGAGGCAGTACAGCAAGAATTTGGAGAGCGCGTCCCCTGAAGGTTGACTGTGGAAATGCAGGTGACGTCCCTGGAGGAGAAACAGTCTCTAAACGGTCTCAGCTGGGATGGCACTGCCTGTGCGTGAAACCCATGGCCAGCAGGGAGGCAGGAGCAAGGGACCAGGCCTCAGTGCAGTCTGAGGAAGAACTTTCTTACAGGCAGAGCCATGTGGAGGTGGGGTGGGTTCCCCAGGGAGATATGAAGCACTTATTCTTAGAGGAGGGCGAGCTGCGGCTGCACGGCTCATGGCAGGGAGTTATAGAGGGGATTCTCACATCAGCTGAAGGGGTGGACCCAGAAGTCCCCTCTAGCCCCCAAATCCTATGTTTCTAAGATCTGAAGATCTCTCAAAAGAGTGGCTGGACACAGTGGCTCATGCCTGTAAACCCAGCACTTTCAATGGCTGAGGCAGGAGGATCCACTTGAGGCCAAGAGTTTGAGACCAGCCTGGGCAACATAGCAAGACCCCATCTCTACAAAAATAAAATAAAAACATTAGTTGGGTGAGATGGTGTATACCTATGAACCCAGCTACTCAGGAGGCTGAGGTGGGAGGGTCACTTGAGCCCAGGAGTCTGAGGTGGCAGTGAACTATTATGATACCACTGCACTCCAGGAGTGAGACCCTGTCTCAAAAAAAAAAAAAAAAAAGCAACCATTCATTTCCCAAAAGCTGTTTGCAGTGTGTTGCAGTGCCTTACAGCCCTTAGAGCTTCCTCACAGCCATCGGTTCCTCATAGGTCCTGTGAGGCAGATGAACTGAGCTAGGAGTCCATTTTACAGAAGGGAACGCTGAAGCCTCCAGTCACGGAGCTGGGGAGTGGCAGAGACTGGAGCTCAGGCCTCTTGCCTCCCGACCTGCTCAACTTGCCCGGCTGTCTCCTCACTGCCCTGGAGGGGACATGGCATGCCAAGGAAGAGTGGCTCCTGGATGAAGCTGGGGTTTTGGGTCCCGTAGCCCGGATTCACAGTCCAGCGCCACCATGTCCTGGCTTGGGTGGCCCCGTGCAATTCCCGAAACCTCTGAGCCTCCCAGCAGCCCTGTGAGGAAGCCTCAGTACTGCTCCTATTTGACAGCTAGCAAAACTGAGCCCCCAAGAGACTCCCATCACATAACTGGCTGATAGAAGAGTTGGGATTTGAATCTAGAAATAACTCCCTTCCATACAGGACCCTACCCTGGACTTTGGCTCGTGTTCCCATCTCCACTAACATCACTGTCCCATGAATTCTCACCGTCTGCAAGGCTCAGGCTCTGGGCTGCTGTGGCCCTGGGCCTGGACTTATTTGGGCCCCAGTAGGTGGCATTCCAGTAGGAAGCCCCAGACCTCTGTCTGGAAGCCTGGCTCTGCCACTTATTAGCGATACGCCTTTGGACGGCTTTCCTGGGTCTCAGTTTCTTAGCCATACAACAGGAAAGTCACACCTCCTCCTCCTCTGGCTGCCGTGAGGACAGGGAAGACACCGCACACAACGCACGCCGGTGGCCACAGGCATGAAATGGGGACGAGTCATTTCTAGTTTGGGTCGGTGGCTGGACTACATACTCTCCTGGGCTCTGACAGGCAGTACCAAGGCTACGGACCCGAGGGTGTCCCCCAATCACGAGTTAAGGAGGGGCAAGGAACCCCACCCACTCTGCACACGGTCCCGGGGCGCGAGAGGGGGGCGAGGGGCACCCCTGGCCATGGCACTCTGGGGCCGGGTGGAGATGCAGGCTTACCTTGCGAGGGCTGCAGCTCCTCCACGACGCTCTCGGCCGCTGTCTCCTCGTCCCACGTGCCGGCCTCCACCACTTTGAAGCGGCTGCGTGGCTGGCTGAGCACGTGCGGGGCCTGGAGCGCCGCCTCGCGCTCCGCAGCCAGGTCCAGGTCCTGCTGCGCCAGGTGTGCGCGCAGTTGTCGGATCTCAAACTGCGGAGAGAGAAGGGCTGGGCTGGATCAGCTGGCGGGGGCCTCCAGCCTGACCTCTGGGCGCTTTGCTCCCACATGGGGGCGGAGTGGGGAGGACTGGGCTGAGCCTTCTGCGGCTGGATGATTCCTTAGGAATCTCCCAGCATCGCGGTTCTCAAGAGCTTCTTAGGGTTGCGGAGCCTTTTCCAACCTGTGCGATTCTGTGTCTCAGGTGCCTTGCAGTCTGGCCCCCATCTCACGGATGCCCGGGTGAGGAAACACAACGTGTTTCCTTTGTGGAAAGGCCACTGGACGGGGAGTCAGGAGCCCTGGGTGCAAATTCAGTTCTAGCTCTCCGCACAGATGTGTGACCCCAAAGGGTGCTTGACAACATGAAAGCCTCGTTCAGATGCCTTACACTGATGACTAAGGAAGAACCGGAAACCTCGGGGACACCCAGGGCCCGCGTCCCCTCCTGGGGACCCCATCCTGGCGTCACTGCCCGCTTGTTTGAACACTGGCTCATTTTCTTCCAGCAACAACCACTTCCCTCCTCCACGAGGAGGCACCCAGGACCAGACCGGGTTCAGTCCAAGCCATGTGGCTTCCTGGCCCTGTGGCCTGGAGCAAGTCCTATCACCTATCCAGCCTATTTTCTTTTCTGTAAAATGGGGTTTTCACCTCTTTGAGGACTTGGGTTGCTTCCTCTTAAGGGCTTCCTCCCAGGTGGAGTGGCAGCCTATTTGAATTTCCCGCATTGCACTTACCACCTTTTGATATTATTATGTATTTAACGTTTTGTTGATTTTACTTTTATGAAGGTAAAACACACACACAACTAAAAGCATTCATGAACAATAGGGTGGCCAGGCAGCAAGCTGGCCTTGTAAAAGCTGCACACATTTTAATTTTGTTTTACTTTCTGTTGGGGAAAGCTTCTTGGAAAGGCTTCCAGATACCTCTTGGGTTTGTGGCTGAGATGGCTGTTCACACGCCAGGGTCTTCCTGGGACATCAGGGCCAACGCGAAGTTTGGGTCTGACATTGCAGGTCCGGGCCGCGGGCTCGCAGGAAGGAGGGCCTTCACCGCCACCTAGTGTTCCGCGCACGCCTCGCACCGCTTCTGCACGGAGCGAGTATGGAGGGCGGACAGCGAATACCACGCCCGGGCGCCCTGCCTAGGAGGTTACCTACTTACCAATGCCGCCCAAATGCACCTCTCCAGCCCTGACCCCTCAAACTGAGGTGTCAGACTCTCACCACCAATGCCTCCATGACAGTATCACTTTCACAGGAGTTGCAAAATCAATCTGGTCAAAGCAGGACTCTTCACTGTCTATCCAAACCTGTTCCTCAAGTGTTTTCATCTTATTTTAGCTGGAGCCAAAAATGCAATCACCTTCCTTGCTTCCTCGCTTTCCCTCACCCCAACATCCCATCCATCCCCCAAGTCCAGCAGCTATCGCGCCTCCCTCCACCTCCACTGCCAGCTCTGGCCCCTACAGCCGCGGCTTCTGGGTCCCTCTGCCATCACTCTAATAGGACTCGTGGGGACCCTCCCACACCCAGGTCAGATCATGACACTCCTGTCCATAAACCTCGATGGTTCGCCACCCGACCTGGGAGATAGCCCGAGCTCCTCAGCCTTGGCTTACAAAGCACCTACACCATCTGGCCCTGCCCACCTGGCCAACTTCGTCTCATCCTCTCTCCCGTGACCTGACCCTAAGACACAATCCTTCTTCTGGTTCTGTAAAGATACCAAGCACGCGCTGGTCTCAGGGCCGCGTTCTCAGCTGCTCCCTCTGTTCCAGATCACATGGTGGCCCCCCTCAGAGGGGCCTTCCCTGATCTGCCACCTAGGACAGCCCCCCAGGCACTCAGTTACATCAGCCTCTCTGAATTCTCTGCATTGCACTTACCACCTTCTGATACTGTGTTTTTAATGTTTTATTGATTTTACTTTTGTGAAAGTAAAACACACACACAACTAAAAGCATTCATGAACAACAGAGTGGCCAGGAACCAACCTGGCACTGGACAACCTCCCAATGTCAGTGTCTACAGGTTTGGTCTCTGGGACTGCACAGGTTTTCAGCTTACTGCCTGAGGCTATAATTTTGGCTGCCTCTGTGCTGTGAGTAGGGCAGAGGAATACGGCAGAGGGTCCCACTTTTAGGGGGAAAGACTTTCATTTAATCCTCATTTTCAGCCCTCCACCTTTCCCCAAGTCCCTGCCTAACCCAGTGCCCACATGCAGAGCCCCCTGGTTCATTTTCTCCCGAGGACAAACCCCTGGACTCTTGCAGGGTGGGGGAACTCAGTCTCCTGGCCATGCAGGATTTGGAAGGGCATCTTGGGATCTCGAATATTATGCATGTAGACCTTTAGCCATCCCCACCCTGTGTCAGCTTCACACTACACCCCCTTCCTCCCAGACTCTCAGGGGTTCCGAGGGGAAAAGTACCCCATTTCCCTCACTGTCCTCCTCTGTGGGCACTTTAGTGACCATTCTCCACTCTGTTCAATCAGTTACAACTTTCTTGTCTAGTCTCCATTTCCCCCCAATTCACTAAAATCTCTTTCCTCTTTGTCCTGATGGACAAGACTTAAAGAGACCTTCCTTCCTTCCTTCCTTCCTTCCTTCCTTCCTTCCTTCCTTCCTTCCTTGTCCATGATGGACAGGAGACCTTTCCCTT